AGATATTTCAAAGATGGCGACAGTTTTTAGCGGGAAAATCGGACGATGTGCTGATTTTGATTAAGTAGTAGTGTTTGGTGTCAATATATATGTTTTCAGGGGAATAGATAGATTCCATTTCTGCCAGTTATAACAGTGCAAAATGATCATAAGTTTACCGATTTGCATATTTCCAAGATGACGGCCATTTTTGGCGGGAAAATGGGACGATGCGCTGATACTGATTAAGTAGTCGTCTTTGGTATTAGGATATATGTTTTAGGGACGCAGATTCCATTTCTGCCAATTAAAACTGTGTAAAACGATCACAAGTTTACCTATTTTGCATATTTCCAAGATGACGGCCATTTTTGACGGAAAAATGGGACGATGCACTGATATTAAGTAGTCGTCTATATGTTTTTGGGGTGCAGATTCCATTACTGCCGTATACAACTGTGTAAAATGATCACATATTTAGAATATTTCCAATGTGGCTGCCATTTGTGGCGGGAAAATGGGACGATGTGCTGATTTTGATTAAGTAGTCGGGTTTTTGTGCAATATATATTTTCGGCCGCAGTTCGATTTCTGCCATTTACAACTGCGTGAAATGACGGTATATGTTCATCCATTCAGCATATTTCTAAGTTGGCCACCGTTTGTGGCAGGACATTTTTTAAACACATTACTGAAAAGGTTTCTGAATCCATTTCTGCTATGTATAAGCTTGTAGCATGTTCCTGAAACTGAAAGCCAGTACCAGGAAAATAGCACATTTGGTCGATCGCGTTTTAGTAGTTGGACTCCAATCTGATTTTAAAACTTTATGGCTTCATCGAGACTTTCAGTTTATGTTGTCTGTCAGTTATAGATACAAAATTAACGATGGTTAAAAATGTGAAACTATTGAAAAGGTAATTAATAAATTAAAAAGTAGAACAGAAATGTATATTATAAAGCAGTATACAAAGAAAAAAAACAAAGACTGCAAATGAAATAGTAATACTTACTATAATAAACCTTTGTGGCATAGATCATATTATTATCAACTGACCCCGAGCTGCGTGTGAAAGGAGTCGTTCAGAGAAATGCTGTCACGTTGGAAAAACAAACTATATCACCACTTAATCTACGACGTGCAAGTCATTTATGCCATCTCTGCCATCACCATTGATAAAACTTAATCCTTTAGTGGCATTTAGCAATTGGAAACATAACAAAACTATACAGTTATATGGGACAACAATCACTGGTTTATTATACACAAGCACGACGTTTCGATAAGTATTCTCTTATCGTTATCAAGCACATTGATAGAACTGGTGGCCGTGATGTCAAAGTGGCCGGCCACGTTGTTGTGTAAGGGGTGACCTACTTTATGTTTCCAACTCAACAGCATTCCACATGCTCGTTCCACATTCAGCTTGGAAGTCAGTTGATAGCTTAATATATGTCATGAGAGCTTCTTAGCGTGTTTTTCACTTACAGCCACGTCCCGACCACGTTGCCGCCAGGCTGACACGAAGCTCCTGGTTGCATGATGGCTACGCTGTTACGGCCTTTATGTCTATACAGGGAAAATACCGAGCTTTGCCCATCAACTCCAGTCTAGCATCCAAAGAGAAAAATCAAGAAAACTAGAAAATGTTCTTGATTGCTTGACTTTAGGTGGTTATCTGCTTTGAAAGTGAATGAGGACGGGGTGAGCAAGGCACAGTCTCTGTAGGCTTGACAAGAAAGCGTCTTACGCCCGGTAGGCACGTCACGGGAGTGTGGTCAGAACGTATACCGGTCTGACGGGTAACTGCAAGATCATGGTGGAACACTTTGCGCGTAGCCAGAGCTTGATTGGGTCGCGCTGGGCGTAGTAAGCGCTTGGTGTGGTCGTGGCATGAGCATGATGGGCGCGTGTCAATTTGGCTTCATGCCAGGGGAACGAGTGAATAGGAAAATCGATTTCAGCTCAGTGGTCATCTTGGATGAGGAATTTTCGTCGTTGGATAATATACCAAATGGTTACGACACGGTACCGGCTTTCAGGAATGTGCTACAAGCTAATAGCCTACGTAGCAGAATTGGACTCAGAAACCTGTAAATAACAACGACAAGTAAATAAATGAGAATAATGTGTTTAGAAAACGTTCCGCCATCTTGGAAATTTTCGAAATTGGTGAACATACGTCATTTTACGCAGTTGTATATGGCAGAAATCGAATCTGCGCCCCGAAAACATATATATTGACAACAAAGACAACTACTTAATCGAAATCAGCATATCGTCCGACTTTCTCGCCACAAGTGGCAGCAATATTGTAAATATGATACATAGGTGAATATATGATCATTTTACAAGGTTGAAAATGTCAGAAATGGATTCTGCGTCCCCGTAAACATATATATTGACACCAAACACTACTACTTAATCAAAATCTGCACATCGTCCCATTTTCCTGTCAAAAATAGCCGCCATCTTGGAAAAATGCTAAGTATGTGAACATGTGATCAATGTGCAAGGTTGTAAATGTCAAGAATGGAATCTGTGACCCCGAAAACATATATATTGACACCAAACACTACTACTTAATCAAAATCAGCACATGGTCTGATTTTTCCGCCCAAAATGGTCGCCATCTTGGAAATAACTTCGTGAAGTGATGGAAAAAAATCTGAAATATAGTCATGACCCCTGTCACTATTAAAACATTGGCAAATCACAGTTAATATGTCGGTAACATTATAAAAAAGGTGAAAATAAAAAAAAAAGTTGCAATATGATCGCAAACTGGCTGCCCTCAGATAATGGCCTCCCATACTATTTCTACCCGAAAAGCCGACGGATTTACATTAGGGATCAAACTAATTTATACACATATAGCTTTTACTTAACTAATTTATCATCTGTATTTGATAACTTGTCGAAACGTCGTGCTATATGTGTATAAACCAGTGATTGTTTTCCATATAAATTGTGTTGTGTTTCTTTATTTCATTGACAATCCACATATGCGTAAGGGAACCTATATTAATTGTTATTCCGATCTTCTAAAATTGTTGATATTTAAATGTATTCTTTACATGTTCACCTTGGGGTTAACATTGTTCTATTTTAAAGGACGTTGGTAACGACTATGTCTGCACGTCCACTCTAGAAATATTTTAAAAAATACTTCGCATTTAATCTTAAATATATAAAGAGGGTAAGTATTTGTTATTTTTTTTCGTCATCCAAAGGTTTTGTTTTCTTAATCCGTTACTCCCTTGAGCTTATAATCATATCGACTTATATCTTTTTCGATTATCCGAATAATTAAACAAATGCCAAGTAATGGACTACACGTAATACATCTTAATATGGTCGCCTACATAATACTGTAATTATTGACAACTTATACCAGATAAAGGCGGGAAAAGTCATGTCTCAGTATCACCTACATAGAATCTTTCAAAATGGCTATTTTTGAAATTTTATAAAAAAAAAACAGTAGGATTAATACATAATATGGATTATAATTGTACTGTTTTCTTGTGTTTCAAAAATGAAAAAAAGTACACTGTTATATTTATACGCAGTAATTCGCCTTGATAATTTAGAGGGGGTTTATTGTCCATTCGACCACACTTTTCGACCAATCACAATCGAGGAAATTTCTAATTTGCGTTACAGTTAGTTTATAACTTTGTTACACAAACTTATTCTAAAGAGTTAGTTTATTTTTAATTAACTAAATGTAACCAAAACGTGACAGCGAATATTACCATCTTGCTATTGCCTATAATTAAAATATGTTTATGAATGATATATTCCTAAAAATAAAAGAAATAGCTCTAAAACTAAAAAGAATAAAATTATAAAAATTCGTTACAGTTCCAAGACATTTTTGAGAGGTAAACAAAATATTAATAACAAAAAGTCTTATTCCTAAGTTATGAAGTTTTTATTTAATGTGCAATATTAATTAATAAATATATGATCTTCGCAATCAAATGAGAAGTAATATCTGATGCTGTAGAAATTTCAGCATATCCTGGCTCGTGTAAATCGAAACGATTTGAGAGAAAGCATCATCGAACGAATACTGGATTTATATACATGTATGGGCTGAGTCGTCTACTACCCAGAGCCTCATTCATAATTTAGAGGGTACCTCAGCCTCCTGACAAAAACAAATAATTTACCATTAAATTCAGGGGCCTACATAGGCCAAGATCAGATGCTATTACGTTTAGGACGGTCAATGCTTCCATGCCCAGGGTCTCCATTTGCATTAATCCGTCGCTGATCTTAAATAATGGCCACCGGAAGTCACCAGCCAAGTTGTTTAAGTACCACAGTACAACAAAAATCGCCGACAAAATTTGGTATCGAGTGAATAATCACAAGGTAGTCCCGCAATCTGGTTTTCCAATACGGGTTGTGAGTGAATCCGCAACATTTAACCGATAGCGTACACCTACCAAACAATTTAACATCTATCCAAACCTTCTTATGAAAGTCGTCATTCTCCCTAAACCCTGCCCTGTACTAAAGCAATAGTGCCAAGAGTTTTACTTTTGGAATATGTATTAAGCCTTCACAACTGAACTAGAATAAAGTCCATAATTTTTTGTATATTCTTTATCCGCTTTTTAAGAAATTGAGAAGCCAAATCTTGTTTCATTCCATTTTAATCCGATTTGATGTCATTTAATAAATTTAGTAATTCACTTGTTTAATTAGATGATTCTAAATTGAATAGCAATTTGAAGTAAATCCTTCAAATATGATTAAACTTTGTGCTGTTAAGCCTATCCTCCATATTACATTTATTCATGCCGTGTCATGATTTCTGACTGATATGATACGTTTTTTCTCACGCTCGTTTTGTTGTCAGTGGGCAAAGTCGATACAGAGACAATACCTATCACTGTTCGCGGAATTATCAACATTATTGTACAGACGAGAAAAGGGATAATCCGTGACAAAAGTTAATCCTAGTTTAACAAGACTTAGATTCGTTAACTGATATTATTGATATTTGAGTTGAACACCGCCATTAACTATGGTTAAGAAACCTAATTTATACAAATGTAAACGTTTACGTTAAACTCAGTTCTCTGTGATTGGTACCTGGTGCAGTGGTTGACATCTTAACCAATCCGCCCATCCTAATCTACTCTTCACGCGACGCCACAACTCCAGTTCTGCATCCTACGAGAGCACGTGATCTCGAGTTACAGAATGCTAATGTGTATATAAAAGGTGGAATTTAAGAGCAAGAAAAGTAAAGTCGCGATAAGGACGCAGATATCATTACATACTATTTTAATCGCTGACACCAAGGGAACCGTTTGCAGGTACTAACAGTGTCGTATTACAAGACATTCACTGAATAGGGTAAGTTTTTTTTTTATCTACATATATTTTCAACAGTTTCGGCGGTCGGGGTTTGGATTCCGTTCTTTTTTTTAAAACTTGCGTTTAATGCAGAATGTGACAACAAAACTGTCAAGGGTATTTTATGGTATCTAAAGCAAACATTTTATTTTTCAATATTGCTTTGATAATCCATATCATTTAGGTGTGTTGTATTGCGGGGAAATTTGTTTGTAAGAATTGTATTTAAATCGGCGTTGTGGAACATACTTTATCACCCAATAATACATTCTACAGTAGATATCGCTTGTGTGATCAATTGCATAATCTTCTGCAATATCTCCTGAGGAGATATCGCTTAATGAATTTGATTGGTCAGTTGAAAAGGAACTACTTTTTTTTATTTTCAAAGAACAGTTCATTTCTTATCAAAAGTAACTTTTTTTTATTAAAAATGAACTATTGTTATTCAATTGACCTTGATGGAAACACTGGGTCAATATAAAGGACTTTGCAATGGTTGAATTGCTGTCAAAAATGATCTATCACTACACCGTAATGTTCAGTAAACGTGAAATCTACGGCAAAGAATTATATTTATCTATTTGTGCATGTAAGAAAGGATTGGCTGATAAATAAAATCTCCTACTCGTCTTTTTTGATATCAAAAAATATCAACTTGTGTTGATATTTTTTGATATCAAAAAAGACTGGTAGAAGATTCTCTATATACAATACCGGTTTCAGATTTTACGGATTTCAAACATTAAATTTCATAGTAATAGTAAACACGATTATTGTCGATATGTTTTCAGTGAAAGCGGACGTTAAATAAATCTATTTCACACAACACACATGATTTAAAAAGCTTGTGCTCAACTAAAAACAACGCGATAATTGAATTTTAGAAAATCATGTGATGTATAAGGAACTTTATATTTATGCTGAAAACTGTGGACATGTAAATGGGTTTCAGCTACAGTAACTGCCATTTAGTCTCAAGGCATAAATAACTGTATGTAAATATTCGCGCTATTCTGACTCGGTACCAGATCCCATACCTTAGGGAAGCATAGTCTTATACTGTTAACTATAACTAGCGATTTGTATAGCGTTAATTAAACATGTCACAACAGTTAAAAGATATACTACTTCTGATGTTCAACTACAATACACGACATCAGTCTAGAATAGATGTTGCTCTGGGGTTGAATCTGGTCCAATTCTACAAATTACAGATGGCGTTATCGTTCGCTTAACATCAGTAACAACCACATGTTAATATACCATTGTATACACAAAGAGCATCTCGATAGCAACATCTTATACTTATCCTAACATGTCCTTCGAAACCTTCCAACCTCGTGGGTTTTCTCCGGGTCCTCCGGTTTCCTCCCACTGCTAAAGACCCCTACGCGTAAGCGAATTATTGAAATAAAATTAAACCATATGTTAGTCCCGAAATGACTTAGTTTGTGTCGAGTGGACGTTAAACCCCATTTCTATCTCTTGCTCTCTCTCTCTCTCTCTCTCTCTCTCTCTCTCTCTTCGAAACCTATCAAGTTAAGTTTTTAATAGTGGGTATACGCTTGATAAGTTCGTGATACCTGTACCAGAAATGCACCCCGAATACCAACTGAATCAGACACTTATCTTAGCATAAACCCTGAAAATAAAGCGAGTGCACTGTAAACTTGCTTGAAAATATGAATAATGCCAGTTAAAGTATTACAGTCGGTCTTGGCTAACTTAACCCGTAAATGGAAAGTGAAATACTAGGCACACACCATCCAATCCGATATAGATATCCTGGTGAAATATACCCTATATATCCTTGTTGACAGTAATACGACTTGACAGAAACGGAATTAACATTCTTACTATTAATAATATGTCGGAGCAGAACAATAAGACGTTAAACCCCATTTCATTTCTATTAATAATGTCAGTACTAATTAATAATTAATAACTTTCCGTCACAACAGTTTCATTATTGTCTAACATTGTGTTGTATATATACATTTTTAAAATATGATTATAGACCGCAAAACAGACAGTTATAATTGCTTTAGACTTTCTTGGAATCAACACAGTGGATGAAGCATTTCTAATACCAGTAACTTTTTATACTTATACTGATGAAAAATATCAGACAATGTTTAAATGACAAGTTATGTTTCTCGAACACCTGCCTGAAGATACTTATCCATCTATTCTACATTTTTCTATTGCGAATTGCTTTATTTCCACAAACAATGCCACACAATTGTTTCTCCAGCGGAAACGTGCTCGATGACATATACCATAGATAACTATAAAATATACTCGGAATCCGGTTCATCTAACAAATAGCAATTATTAAATGGTAAAAGTTTATGAGATAAAATCAATCTGTAGGTCATATTCAAGAAATATAATCCATCTAAAATGATTAGATATTTTTTTGTCGCTTTAAGAATAATATGTCTTTTAAAAAATCATTTAAGAGACCTGAAAAGAATAGAGATTTAATATCGAATTTAGTCTAATCAAATCATGGTTCAGCTCTCAAAAGATCTGTATTAGAGATATGGAGGCGCGGTTTCCAACAATACACTTCCCTTGCGTGTAATTATGCAAGACATGTTCTGTAAATTCAATGAATTAACAAATACAAAGCCCATGTATGCTATTAAGATCCATTGGTTTATTTCTATGCTTCTTGTTTCAAGTATTAGAGATCTATTTCTGGTATTTATGTATTAGAATAATCCGTTCTATCAACTAATTTATTCTGACTCCTTTAGCCAAGGGAGAATTAGAACACACGTGTATCAACCACTTAATTGCCACTTATTCAATGATTATAATTTATACATCCGAATCTCGTTTTTGATCGAATACCATAAATAAAAATTTCATTTTACACGGCGACTTGGTTTGGACCCGCACAATCCGCAACTGACTCTGTGGGGATAGTTACCTTGAAGATTGACAAACTGGTTTACGAACTAGTTAACTAGATAATTTGAGGAAAAAGTTCCACAATCGAAAGATAAGTAAATACTTGTAAACCATAACGCATGTCTGTCGCGTCAGTTTTGGTGTGACGCATGCTCACTAACCAGACGGTACCAGGTTTAATATCGAAAGAGAGTTCCTCGAAATTATCCAGCCTGACAAAGGATTTTGTTCCATGCACGTAAAAGAACCCTTCACAGTCTTCATTATTCCGCTTTGTGCAGAAAAGTAGGACCTTGAATTTCATTTGGTTTGATTTTACGGGAGGTTGGCAATAAGCAGAATGCTGTGACCAGATTCGACTTCCTATTACTAAAAAATATGCTCGTTATGTTATCAGTAATTAGCAATATTAAAAAATTAAGTGTTCTCTTCCGGATTACTTTTCAGAGCTTTAAATTGTATTTTCAAAAATATTTAGTTGCCCTTTAATCATTCTCTGTCCTTGCATAGCAGCTCTAAACCACCTGAAAGTGGAGCACTGACTTTCTTTAGTTGGTAGAAATACTGAACAAAAGCTCTATAAAGAAGCTGAACTACATGAAAGGCAAAAAAGCAGACAAATTGATATTTGTTTCTCCACTTGCATTACCATAGTTTTCCCTTTGTTTGTTTTGTCTAGATATAATGTAGGTGGTTTATTGGCCATTATAAAATATATATCTTAAAATCATACAAAAATTAACGTCTTTGTTACAATATTTACAGAGGGCGGGGGGAGAATTGACTAGTTCTATCAAAATAAACTCCAGTTCTGAGGAAAATGTGTTTCGGGATTCTATATTTCTGTCAGTTAATATGGATAATGGTATCGAAAATGTTTGTTACATGGAAACAACGAGTCTTAAATCTCTAAATGTAACAGAAACATGGTATCATGGAGCTTCAGACTAATTTTTCTCAGAAGTAGAAATAGAACGGAAAAGAAACCTCGACAGTAACGGTAGTATTTTACCTGTCTTGGTAGAATTTAATATATTGATATACGTTAGGTGAAGAAATAGTTGAACTACATTATATATACAGATTAGGATTGTTATACATACTAAAAAATAAAACGAAGGATATATTTAGAATGTTAATGTATCCTTAATCATGGCCTCAACAAAAAGACCGTGTACGATTTTTAAAGATAGTCAAATGTTTAATGTGACCGCACGATTTAGAAGATTTTTTTGTTCATGTGACCAACAATGCCTACACAATTATACTCGAGAGAGACCCATTTCATTGATCATTACTGAACATATGTGTTTTTTTTAAACTGTGCCATTCAAGGAAATAATTTTGGTCATTATATTGTCTCTATTTCACCTAAATCATAGGCTATATTATTTCACATGAACTAAACTACAGAAATTGGTTCAGTTTAACTCAATTCCGCACCACCCCGGGTAGTTGCTGAAATAGAAATACCGCCGTATATAATCACCAAAAGAAAATTCGAATTTTGCGAAACGATCAAGTTTGTTGCCAATAGATATAATTATTTCAGTGATGCTGAATCCATTTCATCACCCATTTCGACGATAGGGAACACTCTAATACGAAATGAAATGAAACGAAATGGCGTTTAATGTCTTACTGTTCTGCTTCGACTAGGTTAATGACAACGGGCATACGCCATACAGTGTGCTATGAGGGAAATTTTGCTCGGACAGCGACTCAACGGTCTACTCTTATATCGACTTCCAACTGCCAAGGGATGGTTTACGTGCACTCCAGTGTGTATACAGGACCTTGGTTTTCGTCCCATCCGAACAACTAGACAGCTGTCCTTGTCAGCCCCCTCCCCCACTCCTGAACCACTGACAAGGGGAAACCACACCGGAAAGTCTCGATAAACTGTCTCGGCCAACAGCGATTTATAATTTTTATAATAACCTCAAGTCATTATGGTACTATTTTCTTAAGATAGTTTGATATCATCTTACAGGACTATTGTAATAATAACCTCATGGCAATATAAGATAGCTATTGTAATCCTTATAGTAGTATGTAAAATTGATATCTGAATGATA